ACCCCAGTTATTTATACCATATTTTTTGGTCAACAAAAATATAATTATGCTTGAAATATTTCAAACTTTAATTACAGCATAATTGAAACTTCCTATGTATAGAATATGAGTATATTAAAAAGTTCCAGCTATTGATGTTTTTGGGCATTACTTGTGTGGTTGTCAAATTTAAAATACCAATTATTGAGGTCAGACAGTTGACAGTTATACAATCATTCATTTTGAAAAAGAGTGAAGTATATTGACCTGTGCAAAAAACAAGTCTCAATATTTTTGGTTGACACAAAATACAATAAAAAAAAACCGATTTTTCTTTTGTGTCCCAACGCCCGTACCTGACCTGTTGCACTTTTTTTTACTCAATTTTTTAGGTTTAGCCTAGGCCTAGCCTAAACAGTACAGTATACGAACAGAAACACTGCCACTGCACTGACTGAACTAAACTTGATACTTAGCTACAAAATTATATCTAGGCCTAGGCTAGAATAAGTAACTAGTGGAAGGCGTACATTAATGGACGAAAGGAGATTATGTTTTCTTTACTTACCACAATACTGACTGTGCATAGGCCTAGAGACCTTGGCATGTTGCCAAATGGCAACAGAATAGGCCTAGCGGCTATCCTAGGCTAGGTTGAGTTTCAACGGAAGAACTTCCATTTAACTGGTACATAGACATTGCTACAGGTATTAACCATTTCAATAAAATATCAGTTTGCGATTATTACCCCAATTATTACTGAACAAAAGGAGGATATCACAACAACAAAGGGTGCAGCAAGCGAGAGAGATGTCGATGAAGACCGTTCCGTTAGCTTTCAAATTTCACCACCCAGTTGAGGAATGTACCATGTTTAATAGAGGGGCGGGGAAACCATTTAAGACCAGTTGAGTTATAATTCTTATTAAATGCATTTATATAAAAACCTTCTGTAATTAATCATTTGTTTTGTGTAGGAAGTATATATAATATAGCATTTCATACAATAAATAATTTACTAATTCGTGCATCTCAACTCATAAATTGGACCCCTATCACGGCCTGATCCATTGTCTGGTTATTGAAAAACGATGTCTCTCTCCCATCTGGAATGATGATTAAGGTAGTTAGGTTTTAAGTTACACTAACAGTAACTTTAAAATGGTCACCATAATGGTGGTTTGTGGTTAATGATTTTGTAAGATTATTTAAGTATTTGTTACAAATATGTGCATTAAATTCATTTTTCATTTCAATTTTAAAATGTGGTGTAAGGCTAAGTATTTGCTGTTTTTAACATTTAATTAAATGTTTAATTTAATGTATAATTTAAATTTAACTTAAACATTTAAGTTAAATTTAATGTATAATTTAACTTAAATGTTTAAATTAAATGCTTAATTTAATGTTTTTAACATTTTAACTTAAAATGTGAGCATGCTAATTGATACTGTAACTTATGCATCTGTTATACATTTCCAAACAGATATTCTATAGAATTCCTATACAACTTCTAAATCAAATGTTATAAATGTCTATAGAATTTTCTATAGAATTTCTATACAGCTTCTAAAGAGAATGTTATAGATTTCTATAAAATTTTTCCAGAAATATGAAGCATAATTATTTGCGACAAAATGATACACATATTAAACTCTATGCATTATTTAGTTACTCAACATCAGACCATGAGCCAAAAGCAATAGTTTTATTTATTATTTTTTTTATTATTATTATTATTATTTAATAATCATGTTTCATATTCAAAACCAAGCTTCTGCAATAACACATTTATTGAAAATCCACTGTAGGTTACCAATACATAAATTGTGCAACAAACTAATTTTCTATAGAGTGGAATACAACATTCTATAGAAAATATTAAAATTCTATAGAATGCGTAAACTCTATAAAACATTTCTATAGAATTTTTTTGCCTCTATAGAGTTACATAGAACTCTATATAAAGTTCTATAGAATTCTATAGAGCTCTATAGAACTTTTTTGTATGGGTTGGCTGGGGGCCAGGGGGCCGCCTAGGGCCCCCGGTGGCGAATCCCCTGGAAGCCACGGATATTTGATGAATTAGTGGCGAATTTTTATTACTTATTTGATAGGCATCGAGTTAGGCCTACTATGACTTTATGTAGGCTATGTTTTCTAACGTTGAAATCAGCATCCAAAACCAAAACATTTTAAATAAAGCAAGAAACAAAGAGTAGGCCTATGCAATGTAACCATCTAATTTATTTTCAAATCCTCATTCTTGAAAGTGAAATTCTAGGCTATATTTTGGAAATTTTCAAACATGAAATCTGTCAACCACGTTGTCATGGTCGAGGTTGCTTCACATATCACGATGCATTCCAACCATCCCGAGGCTATCTAAATGAGCATTTGTCATAACAGAACGCAAATTATTTTTAATTAGTCTCGTTGAATTATTATTATTATTATTATTATTATTATTATTATTATTATTATTGTTGTGATGATGAAAAGTTAACACAAACAATATGGTGGCTAAACGAATATTACATGCAAATATTTCTTTTATATGTTTGTTCCCCGACAAAATTTATCGTCTTAACCGACAGGGGAGCCTATGCTTCCCCGACGGGGGAGGGGGATATAGCCCCCCAGCCCCCTCTGGCGCCACCACTGAGTAAAATGCAATAGAAAAAGAACCCCTTTACCATTTCATTCAGAGCACAGGAAAGAGACCAAAGTAGCTATATAATAATTGCAATCGTGATTGGTCAATCTCTTAAAATGAGGTCAAATCATTCAAGCATCACTGGCGTTAGCTAATCTGGGGTCTGCAGGTAGCGTTAATAACGCCAAGGACGTGGCGTAGTGAGTGGCCTTAAAGTACGCCACTGCCTAGTTCACACACAAAGGCGTACGCTACGCCAGAGCCTTACGCCGTGTGTGTGAACATTCAAATCGCTACAGTAATTCAGTGGACACAAGCGATATGCACGAAAGCCTGACCTCACTGATAACAGGCCTAGTCTCAGATGCTGCTACAACAGCCCCCTCATTACACATACACGTCGTGTAAAAACCCTCAGGTGTGCAATTGCGTTAAACCCACCGACATTGATAGATATATTTCACAAAAGCGGTATGGTGACACGAAATGAAAAACATAATTTGAAAATATGTGATATAATAATATATTTCTTTCCAAATAAATAATTCATATATATTGTAATAAATGTAATAGAATAAAATGTGTTTTTGTGTTAGTGTGCTACCCGACAATTAAATATTGGTGGAGATGAAAGTGTCTATTGTATTTATTTAAAGTTACTATTGTATATTTAAAATATATCAATCAGTACATCGTTATACTTACTTTTGCATGAGCGATCACTGTCGTAGCCGTCATAGCCATCTTTACATTCACAATAATAACTTCCATTTACGTTAAAGCAATTCGAGTTTTCAGGACAATTTGATTCTGTCTCGCATTCGTTAATATCTAAAAAGTGATATGTATAAGCTCCTGATAAAATGTTTATGAAATTCGTATTGACAAACAAAATCTCACACATTTAAAGCACTATTCAATAAATGAGAATGTACACCTTAAATTCAACTTAGAATTTTATTTACCTGGGAGGACCAGTATCTAAAATATTGAAATTAATAAACAGAAAGCAAACGGGTAGGGCGGTATTTCACTCATAAATCTCGTGTCTGGGACAGCAACGGAATTTGAACCAAACTAAGTTCAGAGTCTTTAACACAATCGTAATATTTCCATGTGGATCCTGTACGGATCCACATGGAAATATGGGAAACATCTAGCACACCATCTGAGCAAAATGGGTCACTTGCAGCAAAGATGTCTATGCCATATTACAAATATCAAATGGTGGCACAGAAAAAAAGACCAACATCAGATTGCTAAATATAACAAGATGTTGCTCAATTGAGTTACAAATTCATTATGGCCGACTGTGATGGCTTAGGCATGTCTGCCGCATGGAAGATCATCGTAAGCCAAACAAGTTCTCTTCGGACATTCCATTTATTTAACATTCAAACTTTATATATATATATCATTATAGCATTACTGCAAGCCACTTTGGAGTTTATCTCTACACCGTATCGTGATTTATTGGTGAACTTCCGTAATACCCTTTATTACAAGAACATAGAAATGATCCTTCTCTGTTTTCGCATGTCGCATTTACATCACATGGGTCTTCATTACATTCATTGATATCTGTAAAATAATAATGACATTTAACTTTCAAGTGATTAAAGCCTAACCTAGCATTCAACGATTTTGTAAGTGAAACGTCTATATTCATCTGTTGCTTAATATCAGTGTTCCTTAATAATCAACCATGTTTATTATTGAGTTGTTGAGGGGTATTTTTTTAGAGTTTACAACGGCTCAACTAGTGGTAATTGTGTGTTCACAAATGGTAGCGATTCAAAAAAGTGCACCGTCTTTATTTGTTATTTATTGGTTTTTTTTATTGTTTCTTTTTTTTTTTTTTTTTTTTTTTCTTTTTT